GGGGCTTGGAGGTAGGCGAGGGTTGAGTTGCGAACTGGCGGACCACATAAGTAATAAGTCTGATTATTTGAGGGGAGATTTTTTATGGTAAAAAAAGAAATCTATACCATTACAGAAACGGAGCTAAACTCAGTAATCATTGGCGACGTGTACTAGGCGGGCCGGCACGGTCATGCGTTTTGTACTATTTCGTGCTGTAGTAAGATACCATGGATTTCCAGTAGCTAGAATTTATGACCTGCCGGTCCTCGAAGTTCAGGAAGTTAATTATACAGCTATGTGATGTGTCAGTTGCCGATGTCGGTCTTAGTGAAAGACAAATAAAAAGTTGCTGGCACGCGAAAAAGATTCCACGAGGAGCAATAATCACTGGCAATTACTAAAATTCGGCTCGGCCGGCGTCATACACGATCTGTGAATAATTTTTTTGGGTGTCCTTACCTCGTTGCAGTATAGAACACTGGATGCCGCAGATGGAGTAGCAGAGGAGGGGGGCTTTTTGTGCGGGTTCCGGACACGAAGACTGAAGGTGGGAGGAGGGGAATGATGGGCGGAAAGGAGGAGGAGCCGTGCTGGTGGTTCTTGCCGCGGATACGCGAGATGCGGAGAGCTTGGAAGGGGGTACACTGCAGAGGGCACAGAAGGAGGAGCGAGAATGGCAAAGTATGAGCATATTTTTTGGGTGTGAGGGAGATGATGTGTGCGGATTTCGCGCGCGGGGATTTGAAGCATTGGGTGGATGGATTAAGTGAATACGCGGCGTGGATCCCCTAGCAGTTGCCTAGGCCACGCAAGGGAGAGAGGAGAGGTGAAGGGTTGAAAGGAGGGAAGCAAAAAAAAGCAAAAGCAAGAAAAAAGCAGAAGCAAGAAAAGCAAACGAAAAACCGCCATCGGTCGGGGAATTCCCCATCTATAGAGTAGATGCTTAAGTAAAGCTAAAAGCGAATAAGGTGAAGACGCATAGATGAAAATTCTCAGCTTTACCTAAGCATCAACTTCATAAATACGGAAGCCTACTACTGGAGAGACAAGCTTTAAGCAAAAGAAAAACCCGTTATCAGCAAAGGGCTTCTCATTCATGAAGCTGATGCTTAGGCAAAGCTGAAAGTGAATAAGGTAAAGCTGAAAGCGAACGCTGCGTAAGCAGAGGCGGATCCAGGGTGGCCTCCTGAGCGGCGCGATTTTCTACCTTCCCTTCACCCTTCACTATTACCCCTCTCCCCCGGCCGACCATCTATACCTCCCCCCCCCTCCCCCTCGAAAATCTCACCACACTCCCTCCCTCGTCACTACCCTCGACGCTCCATTACTCCCCCCTCCCCTCCCCCCTTCTCCCTCCGCCATTCTCATCAATGGATTAAATTGAGACTGACAAGGCTCCTGAGGGAGGAGGGGGGATGGGATGGGAGACGACAGGGGATACAGGACACACTTTTATACAGTAAAGCAATTAATAACTAAGCTCCTGGAGGAGGGGGGAGGGGGAGGCGAAAGACCCCTCCCCCTCATCCCCTGGATCCGCCAATGTGCGTAGGTAAAGCTGGGAGCTCTCAGCTTTAACTAAGCGTCAGCTTTCTCACTAGCGCTCTTGTTCCTCTCCTCCATCCTGTTCTAATCCGTGCTTTCGGAGCTGCATCTGGGCACTCACCCACCACCACCCCTTTCCCCCACCCACGCCCCTCTCCCCTCCCCCCTCCCACCTAGCATCGCCCTCTCCCCCAACCACGACTTTCAGCCGTAGTACGCAGGTAGCACAACCCACTGCCCCTGGCAAAGTGCCAGGCGAAATCGGCGAGCCCGCTTTGAGATAGCATTAGCAGAGATGCTAATGTACCGCCAGCCGAGCCGAGTTTTAGTAATTGCCTTGATCACTTCTTACAAGCACTGCTTTTGCTACTGCTGGGAGGGGGAGCATCGCCAGCATTATTCTATAATGGAAATTTGCGTGACCATGGGGTCGTAGCTGCACGTGAGATTCGGGCGGTTCTAAGAAGCTGAATTTGAAACCTTTCGGCCGTGCACGAGTAGAGGACATTCCACTAAAATTCCAACTTTCCAACTTTTCTCGTCCTCGAGTTAGTAGTTTCCCGTCAAAACTCTCAATTGTTCGTATGTGAGTCTCGGACGGTTCTAAAGAGCTGAATTTGAAATCTTTTAGTCGTAATGAATAGGGAGCATTTCTCTAAAGTTTCATTTTTTCTAGCTTTTCTCGTTCCCGACTTAGCAATTTTCTCGTTAAAACTTTCACGTGCCTGTGCGTGACAGTAGACATGCGTGATAGCTGATATTACATTCTTTCGCACTTGGTCAAGGAACACACTGTCAAAATTCCAGTACCAAAGCTCGCGTGATTGTTGAGTAAAAATATCCGGACAGACGAACACACACACAAACATACACACATACATACATACAAGCGCAGACATGGTTATCGCAATATGCATTTTTGCTGCCTGTTGCAGCGCTCTAGCGCCGCACAGCAAAAAGGCATGAAAAACAAGAAAAGTGTATGCATGGAGAAAAGATCAAAAAATAGTGTAGATGGTCACAAAATCGGGTGATAAAGAAGTGGCAGAAAATGTGAAAAGTAAAAATTCTGTTTCGTTTTCCCCTCGTTGTGAAGTTACAAAATCAGCCTGTTCTGGACGTGTAACTGTAGGTTAGCTTAGTTGCGGTGTGTGCTAGGAGGCTAGTGCGATCATGCGTTTTTGAATCCAGCTAATCCTGCACCCTTTTGATCAAGACAGTTTTGCTGTAGAAATTTTGTATTCTTATAGCAGCATTGGATTTTTGATTCAAGTACGATGGTAGCTGGTTCCTGCAGCGCAGTTTTATATTTAAAACAGGTGCGCCTAATGCCAGTAGCGTATTTTGTACGCCTCCTAGTGCTCCAGCTTCCTAGCTTTTCTGGTTGCCAAATTATTTTCCCGCCAAAGTCTTTACGTGTCATACGTGAGATGTAGACGTGCGCAAAAGTTGGTGTCATGTCTTTAGGGTTATACGCTGGCAAAATTCCAGCATCTAAACTTGTTTGGTTGTTGAATTGAAATACTTTTTAATAGGCGAACATTCGCACACCATGGGTTGCCACAATATTCGCTTCCGCCGATTGCTGCTATGCTCTAGCGCATAAAAACCGTACACTTTGGAAGCTGATTTCTGATAATTCAATAAATGCTGTACTATCAACAATAATAAGTGCAAAAATTCCCAGCTGTGAAGTCACACATTTAGACCAGACATGAGCTTAAGGCTGTTAATCAAAACATATACAAAACGGTGAAGAATGTGGGTTGTTTTAGATGTACACTCTCGTATGTGATCGAGAACGCTTTCACAAAACTTTAATTTTTCAGCTTTCGCAATTTTGGAGCTAAATTATAAAACACGACCAACAAACTGGGGACAGACAGGAAGAGACACACTCCTACACTTACACAGATACATCTTAACATTCTTACTTTTGCTTCGTTGTATTTATTTGCCATTTTCTACGCAAGATGCGTTAAAAACACTATGGCAAATTCTTGTTAGTGTGCATGATGATGAAGCCAGCAGGTGTATGCTTGTGCAAGCAGTGCATATGTTGCGTAGGCTAGAGAACCTGGGCTTCATACTTCTGGGCTACATGTAAAATCTTAAGGACTCGTTTTGCTGTGACTTACGATCTCAGATTCAAATTCGAGGATGAAAGAAGTTCAAGGTAAAATTTTGAAAGTCAGTTTGCCAACCACTGCGAGATCGAAAACCGTAAATCAAGCCAAACGCTGCTATACCTTCTCTTTACCCAATTTTAATTCGTAGACTGCAGTGAACTACAATTACAAAATCAGAATTTTCTAATTTGCTGCATTATGTAGAATGAATGAAATGAATTCAACTTCTTGGGGTCGCTACATTTTGAAAGAATCGCACAGCCAAGCCACGAACATGCCTAACAACTATCAGGTGGGTCAAAAAACTACCAGCAAAGTAATAAAACTACTCTTAGGTGTACATAAGCAAATTCACCAACATTCAAAATCATCATCATTTTGATCCCTTTCTGCGTGTCTCTATTTGTTTGAGAAATGGAGAAAGTGTCCAGCCAGGCCTTGCAACTGAAAGACAAAATGCCTGACAAATTGACAGGAGTGAAATATCAGTGAGCTTGTCATTTCTAAAAGCTTTTTCATTGGACTGTGGAATTAGACCAGTGTACCGAGACAGGAAGAGAGGAAACGATGAGGTAGTAAGGTGCAGTTTCTGTAAGGTTCTGCTTCATCGAGTGTTCCCCTGTTTCACAACCGCCACTTGTTCTGCGAATGTTATACACTACTCTTTTGTCTTGACGTGCGTCTTTGTCAAACATAATACGTTGCGCTTAAGCTGCTACCCGAGCACAGGATTCTTGTAGAGGTTTCTGAGCAATGGATTCATTTAACTCGAAAACTCTGCAGGGAGGCATAGTCACCGATATGGATTTCTAGGCATGTTGTTGCCAAATCTCATCGTACCTAATTTTGCCAGAAATTTCAAGTCTCTCCGTCTGTGCGTATCACTATTAACTCTCCCCGTTCAGTAATAGACTCTGTTTCCTATACGAAACCCAAGCTTGAAAGCAACTCTTTTCGCCTTTGGTTGGAAATACCGAAAACTATCGAAACCCGTAGATAAAATAGCTTATGCTGCTTTGCAGAAAGGCAGTTCACAGTTCTAACGAAAATATGCAAAACATTGACGGTAGGAGCATCTTTTTGTATTAACTTTCACTAACTTTCACTCTTTTTTTCCTTTCGTCCACATGACCTGCGTACTTTGTTTGTTCCGAAATGCACATGCATTAGTCTTTTCTTCCTTCCAAAAAAATTTATACTGCAGAACTAAAAGACCTCAAACTGTGATATAGCATGCTTTCGCACATGTAACACATGTTCCTTAATTTGATAAAGTAAGTCTGGAGGGTGCCACCCCACATCCTTGTAGAAGCACATTCCCGAGGAATCAACTGTATTTTTTGGATGGCGTTTCTTGTTGCTTCTGATGCTCTTTTTCAGACGGCATTTCCAATCCAATTTGCAGTAACGATTATCGGCAATTCATTGACTCTTTCAGTACTGCTCAGCCCCAGCATGCGGAATCGGTAAATGAACTTTGCTTTTTTGCATGTAAGGGTGCCGATACTTCAGCTGAGTTGCATGCTGAGAAACGTGGGAAAATAGCCTTCACTTGTCCTTTTCTTGCGTTCATTTGACGCCAAAATGTCCTTGAGGCACGAAAGAATTGCAGAGGATTGAGTTGGCAAACACAAAAACCCGATTTAGCCATGGGGCAGTTTGAACTGGCTAAATGCCCTGTTCGTGAATGTAAGATTTAAGCAATAAAATAGCTGAAAAAATAAATTATGACAAAGGAAAAAGATGACAGTCTTGCATGCATTTTTATCTTAGTCCTTGTGTTTGTCTATGTGCCTCGCTATTCCAAGATTCTTATCCAAACGTTCTAACGGCGTTTAAGACTGACATTGGCAATGTCGAAACATGCTGCAGTCCAAAGTCTTACGACTCTGAGTATGCCAAGACGTTGTTACACGTATTGTCCATCAAAACGTACCGGTAAGGCTGCTTTCAGCCTGAAAACAATGAGCAGTGAGGAAATAATGGTCAAGTAACACGGTTATACAACAGGCTGCACAAAAAAAAAAACAGAATGGAGTAAGCGAGAAACGGATCTTACTAGTTCACACATTCACTTGTTAGAAGCCTGGCAAAATTTCGGAGCAATATCGAGAAATCGGCTTCGACACTCTTTCTGATCTGCAATGGTAAATCGTTTTCTCATCGGCAACCCACATCAGGAATTCAGCAATTCATCACATATCGCCCTCATCCTATAAGGAATATATAAGAATTGTTCTCAGCTAATCATTTTCAAACAGTTTTGTCAATCATTAAGTGATGCGATTTTCTAGCTGGAATCCTTCACAAATTTACAGTAATTCATCAGAACTAGTATTATTCGCCTTACGAAGCTCAAAGAAAAATTGCCGAGAGTGAACCGGATTTCGAAAGAATTACAACAGTGAATCGTATTTCTGCTCTATTCCCTACTATCAAATACAAGTGTTGCTTTTCTACATTCATCAATGAAGCAGCGGCTTTCGACAGCGCCAGACTGGATATTGCCCTGCAAACTTTTCCGAACAGAGGTGCTGAAGAAGTTGTCTGGCCATAAAACCCGCTCACAAGCTCAAACGCTGATCGTAAAAAGGCGAAAAACATACGTGCTTTCACTGCTTTTCTGGAAATTGTTCTTAGGAAGACTCATTGTAGTGTCTGTTTGAAGATTATTGGCCGAGACACTTACAATTTACTTTTGCCGTGAACCAACATAACTCATTTCGCCCGCGAAATGATTGGGGCGTTTAAGGTTAAAAACAGCCAGTGCACAAAAAAGAAGTTGTTGTAGAGCTCTGACACAGCCTTGGTCAATTTCAGCTCGTTTGCGTAGCTTAAGAGTGGCCGAAACGGATAGTCGCGTTCATTTAAGTCAAACTCCTAGCCAAAGATCGTACAGCAGTGGCCTTTCCAGTGACACATTTTCAACACTGCTGCGCAGAAAACAGTGTGCTTGTGACGTAAAAGTTGGTAACGAAAGAAGAAAAAAGCTATGACGGAAAAATGACTGAGCAGGGAATACATCATTTCGTGAACGTATAAGCACGTGAAAGGAAATGAAGCACGTATAAGCAGTGAAGCACTCCGTTCACTCAGTTTGGAAGTCGCCCATCAGTAAAGGAAATGAGGCACTTGAGAAACCAAAACGTCACGCAGAGCGCTATTGAGGATGTGGCATACCCGTGGATCTACCAACCAATCCAAGGACTGTTCACTAGGACTGATGATTCGAGTGACTTCTCTGCCAGTGTTTTGACTGAATCTTTGGTCGTTTATGGCATGTTGAGAGCATGTACTTGCAGGGCGAACCATCTGTTAGCCACACTTGCATTCGCGGATATTGGTGTGTTTGTGTTTATGCTGCCCAACAGCTTATCCTCATTTCGGTTGTTTTATGAAAGCATATCATTTCGCATATTTTATGCATATTCAAAAGCGCATTTCGCCGCATTAGCAAACTGGTTTTCCTGCGCTGCCATTTGGTTTGCTTTTTTCGTTTTCACAATTACTTACTATAAACACGTAGTAAAGCCCAGGGCAATTATCTCGTTTTTCCTGCAATTGTCCAGACGAACTGATAAAATGTGACTCGTATCCTTTCCCGTGCGGTTGGAACTGAAATTACTGACGCCGTCAAAGTCGTCGAATGTCATGCTGTTGCAGGCTGCCAGTACGTTCGCAGACAACTTCCAGTTAGGTGACCTTAAAATAATACATATAACAGTTACATCTACTTCCGCCCGAAGTGAAGTCAGCCCTCATCATTCCTCAAGGAGCAATTAGCTGCCATGAATTTCATGGTATCGTAGTAGTCCTCTGACTGTCGAACTACAAGGATCAAGCGCTCTCCTCTTCAGTACACACCGTTGCAAGCAAACAAAAGAAGCACGGAGTACTGATTCGTTATCACATGGAGAGTCAAGCTCTGTTTCAGATATTTAAAATTTAGCAAAAACAGGGAGTTTAATTTGTTAAAATTGTTCATTTTTGTCTCTTCTGCAATTCTCATGAATTTAATACGTCCTGGTTTTCTGCGCAGTTAAATAACCCGTGATAATCAGGGCGGTCGGCAAAGTGTCCCTGTGTTTTTTCAAAGAAATCGTTCTCGCGTGCACTATGTTTTTCTCAAGGGAGACAAGACAATTTGGGTACAATGTGTGTAAGGACATGATCTAATAGCGATCAACCAGTATTTTTCTAACAAAGGATTTTTCAAGGATTGTGCTGGCGGTTTCTGTTGAACGATTGCTAGTTATCAAATTCCCATTTAGATCGTTAAAACAGTACCAAGTAAGTTGTTCAGTTTATTCCTGTTTGTTCACAGTGTTCATGCATTTTTGGTGAAGTATTAATAAAAATTGTTTTTTATGCTTTTTTTACAGTGCAATGCAAAAACGCGTATTGTAGAATAGTTTGTGTGTGCATATATTTGTACATACGTATGTGTGTGTGTGTGTGTGTTTATGCGCTAATTAGTTCGCATATTTCAGTCTTTGGGTCTATGAAAGCTATGAAGCTTAAATTTTGGTAAATTAGTCTACCACTGCGTACAAGTGTCCAGGGTTAGAGTGGATATTTAAGACCTTCTTAATTTTCGCGCATAGAAAAGTGAAAGATTTTCTGGTAGAAAGCGGTTCCGGAAACCGGACAAGCTAGAATGATAAGATTTTACAGGAATCTTCTCCGTCCTATGCGATCAAATTTAAATTCAGCCTTTACGTACAAATATGTATCATTTGTGTGTTTATGGGTTTGAATAAATCGTTTAATGACTTGTTTGTCAAGGAAACCTGATAAGTACACAATTAACGAGAGATCTTAACTCTAATCAAAAAGATTTCGGATAATTTTTGCAGACAGTGGAATCAGTAGTAATCGGATCAACCATATTTGGACTGACATTGGCGCTGACTAGGTTACCTTCTAAATGATTTTTGTATTTATTTCTACAGAGCACTGGCAGTAAAATGTGTTTTGCAAAAGACATGATTGTAAATGAGGTAGTAAGTGATGAATCATTTGAGAGAAGGACGTTCTGGAAGAGTTCATTTGCAATGTTGTTGCAGTTATCACCACTTTTCGTATCGATGCGCACTGCGATGGGTTTGCAACATGAGTCAAGTATACATCCGATGCCTTCCAGTAACATGGAATTGGACTGCATTTGGACTTGGACCACATATCCAGCCTTCTGCTACACTAACCTCGTACATTAATACGAGTGTCATCGCGAATGCCCTCCTCGGAGTTATAATGCCTGTATTTGTTGTTGCTTTTCTCAATTTATCCCTTATCCGCTTGTTGCGAATTAGAACCCAGCAGGTTCCTTTTGGCACTCTTGCATATTTATATATTTTGCATCACTGTTGCAGCGCAAAAATGCGGCAAACAAAGTCTAAGACTTAAGTTTAAAATTTTTGTGGACAAATTTTCTCGCCGTGTATAAGGGCACAAACCTGGAATCAACTCACAAATCTTCGGTATGTCTTGAAATAAGGTCTAAGTTTGTACTAGTTATAATTTCAACCCAGGCTGGAACGCACCAGGCGGGCCCGTGCGATCATGCGTTTTTGCACCGGACTTGAATTACTCAGGTCATTAACTGTAGGATTGGCTGTTGCTTTACACCTAACTTTTGCGGTCACTAGTATAAATCACCATAAATTTTGCAGAGCAA